TTTTTCTCTTTTTAAGATTTCCTTGTGATTAAAATATATGACTAGTGTAAAAAAATGCTTTTTATTCAACTGATACTAGTGGGTGACTGTGGGAAACACATCCAATACTCTGGGTACTAACACATAGGAGGTTTTTAGATTTACTTTTACATTCACTCAACAAAATGCCAAGAGGTGAAGCTATATTTTACATATTTGTTCTGGAAAATGATTATGTGATTAGAAAAACACACGTGTAATCTCCAAATCACTAAAGGAATATGTTCACAGAATATTATAAATAATATTTATTTTGTGAATAAAAGTGACTTTAAGACTTTTGGCAAAAGTGATAGTGTGACAAAATAATCTTGTTTCTATTTATCTTTAGGTTTTCATGCACATAGTGCATGAAATTTGTGCACAGGAGGTAAAAGGTTCTCTCAGCCCAGCCTGCACTCACTCCAATCAGACATCTTTCAATCTGCGACCACTGGCTCCTAACAACTCACCTGCCTGCCTTCCTGATTGCCCCTAACTGCCTCGGCCTGTCCCTAACCCCTCTGCCTGCCTGCCTGATCACCCCTAACTGCCCTCCCCTGCTGGCCAATTTGGTTCTGATTGGTCGGTTCCTATGCCAGTCTGTGTCAAAAGCTCTGCCTCCTAGGCAGCCATTGGCTCTTCACAGCTCACCCATATTTGGTTCTGATTGGTCGGTTTCTATGCCAATTTGTGTCAAAAGCTCTGCCTCTTAGGCAGCCATTGGCTCTTCACAGCTCACCCTGATTTGGTTCTGATTGGTCAGCTTCTATGCCAGTCAGCATCTCTGGATGTATCTCTAGGCCTGATCAGAGAGGTAGGGCTGATCAGCAGCAACCAAAGTGGCCTGGAGAGAAACAGAGGCATGGCTGCAGCAACTGCTAATCAACAGCTGCCACAGTGGCCGTGAATCAGACTCTGCATCTCTTTCTGGGCCTTTCTCCAGGACTGATCCTAAGCCCCCTCAGCAGTCAGTGCTGGGTACCTGTGCCCACACCAGTGGCAGTCAGTGGTGGGTCTCCCCAGCAGCCCAGCACTGACTGCAGGACTGATATCCAGTCTTCAGTTGAGCCATTCGTCATTTTGGATGTTATGGACCCTGAGTTTTTATATATTAGAATTGTTATGTTTACTCTGATGCACTTTTGTGTGTATTTACACAATTATTTCTTGACACATTATTTAAAATTTTTACTTGTAGACCCTTTTACGTGATACATAATATTTTGAAAAATGAAATTGCTCTCATTCTCTTTGACAAAAATCCAGTCTTTTCTTACAATCTCCATGTCTTTAAAGGTGCGGGTTTTTGTTTTTTTTTTCAGATATATTGAATTTAGTGTTGAATCATGTCCTCCACACCAGAATGATAAACAGCAAAAAAAAAAATCAGCTAAAATTACTATTCTCAGGCAAAATTCTTAATGAGCTTTAAAACAAACAACAAAGGAACCAAGTTTAGTTGACACTAGAAAGTCAGTGTTGTATCAAGAATTGCCCAGTTAATAACAAAGGAAAAATTTGAGAATGGAACCCTTTATTTGTTCTTTTTACAGAAGTTTCTCTTCTTCAATGTGGTACAGTTTACAAATTTTCTTACTTGTGGTCTTCTCAGTGCCTCTACCCCTTAGTTTTCTGATAATATACCCATATCTTTTCTCACTTTCTCAAATATGTACTGTCCTTTTACTTAACTGTTAAAGGGAAGCTCTATGTACCTCTCTTTCAGTGTTTTCCTGTGGTTTCTCTCAGCTTTTGTTCTCTCTTGGTTGTCTCCTATGCTCCCCATCACCTCACTGCAGCCACACATTCATGGATTCAAACCTCAAAACCGGTTCATTTCAATGTTCCACTTTCAGAAGAAAAGAAATGAATTCCTAATACTGACTTCAGGACTAAGTCACTCTTTCCTAAAAGGAAGAGCAAGAGTATGCCATAGCTGTTTTGAAACCATATTTCCACAGTATTGCTGGTTTATGTATGTGTATGTGCAGTCTAAAGCTGGGATTGTGGGTGGCTTTGCCTTTCATGTTTTCACTGTAGAAGCGATTAGTATGGACTGTGAGGATATGCTATAATGTCAACACTGCAAACAGATGAATGGTACAATAGGATTTTGTCCTCTTTATACTGATGAGGTGTTGTTTTTGGACATGCTGGCTGCATTTCAGTTGCTACATATGTAAAAGGAACCAGCATGTGCCACTGTGATGTTTATGCTTATATATTCATGCATAATGTGTTCAAGGTTCCACATAAGACAATCTGTAGTTCAAAGGTTTGGTGTATCCTTCCTAATTTTTATGAGCATTTTGTATATTTTGGCATAAGCTCATACAAAAGCCATGTAGTTCTTGAGATTTTTAAAGCTCCAATGAGTTATTAATGTACAGTTTTCATAGCTTTATAATATATACAACAGAATAAGAGAAACACTCTTCTAGTATTGTAAAACTGCTTTAAAGAGTAAATATTTTTCCTATTGAGACACTAAGCAGCTATCTTCAAAAGGTGGACTCCTGTTCATAATCTGGGGGATTCTAAGCCAGTTACAAAGCTCAGGGAAGTTTGATCACCTTCGGTATTGTCATAATTTGCTAAAGAAGTCTTTTGTTTACTTTTTAAAATGTTTCTACAATGGTGAATTACGTCTCTGCCCTTGGTTTGTAAATCTATATAGGAAGCTTGTGTGTAAGTAGATACTGGAGGAGAATAATGTGTGATGAAAGTGGTCACTATTTCCAAAATGAGAATTTTGAAATGTCTTAATACAGTACAAAGAGAAAATTTAATTAAGACTATGTCTGAAGTCAAAAAGTATTTGATAACATAGGTTTAATGACATACTTTATAATTATAATGATAGATCATTTGCAATGTTTTAGGAAAGCAACCTTTCATAAAATAACAGGGTTTCTATGTGGCTATAACATACTAATGAGAAATATAATGTTCTACAAAGTAATTAGGTGATAATGCTGGGAACCAATTAAAAAATGTTCTAGTTAGAAAACTGGGTAATGATAACAGCTTTTTATAAAAGTAGTTGTTTATGGTGTTTATATTTTTTGTTTGTTTATTGATGTCAAAGATTAAAACTTATTTCTCAGTTTCAGCACACAAATGAAAACTTATTATTTAGAATTTCATGCAGGAAATATTTTGGGTTATTCATTTTGTATATTTTCTAATTTTATCTAAGTAACCATGTTATCTTAGAAGAAGAAATAACCCAATAACAAAAAATAACAAAAACACACCATCAATTAATTTCCCTTTTTAGCTGATCTGGTACAATTGTTGACTTTTTTTCTTTTCTCCTTGTTGCAAGATAAAATTCTCTTACACTAATGCCTATTAAATGTTCTGAATAGAGTTATAATTTATAAAGGAAAATTTTAAGAAATATATTTCATTCCTTTAAGTGTTCAAGTTTGGTAGGAAATAGCAAACCAAAATATTTTACAATGAAATGTACCAATTTCATATAATTTTAGACATTGTTGTTCTGATACCATATGATTTTAGACATTGTTGTTTTGATACCATAATGAAGCTGAAAAAGAGTTTTTGGTTTCATATAATAGAACAATAATGTCTATACTAGCCTGCTCAAGTTAGATTTAAACTCTCTGTTAAGGCTGACACATGCCAAGTGAACTCTTGAGCCATTATGGGCCTCAGAAGTAGGCATCCAATAAATACTTGTTGAATTTATGAGTAGTTGAATATAAGAACAAATGATACTACTATTAATGCCCAGGAATAAAATGCTGCGTCCATTAGTCTGGGTAAAATCTTTTTTAGAGTCTTTATTAGTAGTAGTAATAGTATTACTATTATTATTAAAATTTGCTCGTTGAAACTTAAAAGAATGAGCCCAGGCTATGTGGGTCAGTTGGTTGTCAGCCTATACACCATAAGGTTGCGGGTTCGATTCCTGGTCAGGGCACATGTTTGATCCCTGGTTGGGACACATATGAGAGGCAGCCCATTGATGTTTCTCTCTGACATCCATCCATCTCTTTCCTTCCCTCCCTCCCTCCCTCCTTCCTTCATTCCCTCCCTCTTCCTTTTTATCCTTTCCTCTCTCTCAAATCAATAAAAATATTTTAAAAAAAAACATTAAAAGAATAACATTGAATTTGGTCAAATTATTATCATAATCTTAAATTAAACAAGACAGTCGTAGACAATTTAAAATTTCCAGAAAAAAAATGTCTTCCCTGAGATTATTATTTTCTAATAGGCATATTATAGTAGTTGTGTAAATTATTTTTAAAAAATGTTGTTACTAAGTTAAGTTACAATCTAATTGTTAAAAATGGTTTGTATTAATGCTCATGAGAAGTGTACAGTATCTTTTTTTAGCAAACATGAAAGTTTTCCCAGTATCATTGCCAGGTAACATTATGCCTCCAGAGTATGACAATGTTGGATAAGTGTTAGATTATAAAATCATGGAACCTAGAGCTGGAACGATGTTTCAGGTTATCTAATCAGAAATCCATTCATTTATAACTGAGGAAATTGAGACTCATAAATGAAGGGTGGGTAAAACCAAGAAAATGAATGTTTTTAAATAAATAGGTTGTATTTGTAGTTTTAGTAGGTAATGCTTTACATACTGAACTTGCCTTTTAGAACATTTTCTGTAAAATGATGTTCACTGTTAGGTCCCTATGTCCTCCTTCCTTCTCTATAACACACTTATTTCACTGGATTTTAGTGGCTCTGCCTGTCTCTCCCAACAGGATGGAAGTGTCTTTATAGCAGAGGCCTGAGTTACTCTGTCTAGTGTTTTTGTACCCTCAACTTTAATCATAATTGGCACAGCACAATCCTTGAAAAATTTTGGGAACAGATTAATGTTTCATAGCAATAAGAAAAATTAACCATCATTCCAGTAAAAAAAAAATCTTGCACCTATTAAAATGTGTGACCAACAAAGATAAATATGTGTTCCATTTTTCTCCCCACAGTCTCCAAACGCCCACAACTACCCCGATATGGAAGCTGTTCCTCTGTTGTTAAATAATGTGAAAGGGGAGCCCCCGGAGGACTCGTTATCTGTAGATCACTTCCAGACACAAACTGAGCCAGTGGACTTGTCTATCAACAAAGCCAGGACCTCCCCCACAGCCGTGTCATCCTCCCCAGTTTCCATGACAGCATCCGCCTCCTCGCCTTCCTCAACGTCAACCTCTTCATCGTCTTCTAGTCGCCCAGCCTCCTCCCCAACTGTTATAACATCAGTATCTTCAGCATCATCTTCGTCTACAGTATTAACTCCTGGGCCCCTTGTTGCCTCAGCATCTGGTGTAGGAGGCCAGCAGTTTTTGCACATTATCCATCCTGTACCACCGTCAAGTCCTATGAATTTGCAGTCTAACAAACTGAGTCACGTTCACCGCATCCCTGTGGTGGTACAGTCGGTGCCTGTTGTCTACACAGCCGTGCGATCACCTGGAAATGTGAACAACACTATTGTAGTGCCGCTTTTGGAGGATGGGAGAAGTCATGGCAAAGGTAAGGGACACAAGTGAAGCCTCGATTTGTTTCAGCCCTAGAGGTAACTCTTTTATTCAGTGAGCAAAGCCTAAATCACATGTGATACACCTCACCCAATCGAGTTGTGTGTCCAGCACAAAGTCATTGAGAGCAGGTTTGCAATTCAATGTTACTAACTACGGTATGTTTTATGTACCAAGTCATTTAATGTCAGAATTCAAATATTTAAATTTGCAAAATAACATTTACCTTCAAATCCCCAGTTGGAAAGGACAATCTATAGAGTAACTGCTTGAAAGTATAAATGCATAAATCTCTCATAGAAGTTACCCATTGAGAAATTTTTAAAAGGTGAATCACGATGTTTCTTCTTGCAATTCTTCAGACTGGAACTTACTTGGATGACAGTGACATAAAATGCTATGAAGTTGTAATGCTTGAAATATGATCATTCACTTTTAAATAACTTGTATGTTAGCGGCCATTAAAAGAATTTTAAAATTAGGTGTCTGGCTACAAAATTGTAGCTTGAGTTCTTATCTTTATACTAGTAGCCCTGTGCATGAATCCATGCGCCAGTAGCTCACTAGTAGTAGTCCACTGCTGCCCTCCAGTAGCTCTCCGCCCACTGCCCCGCCCTCCTGTAGCTCCCTCTGCCTCCCTGCTTTCCCTCATAACTTGCTGTCCTGCCCCCTCCTGTAACTCTCAATTACCTGCTTGTAGCTCACTGTCCCCCCCTCCTGCTGATCAGTGGTCCAATTATTATGCTTCATGGCATAACGACCATTTGCACATTACATCTTTATAATATAGGATATGTCTTAAGTTATTATTTCAAATGGCAGGATAACTCAGTATGATGGAAATACTTCAACATACAATATTAATATTCCCTCTGGGGTTTAGAAGGCAGGAAGATACTTTGCTACATGAATTTAATAATATCTAGTTAGTTAACTATATAGGATAGCATGAAGTTATTTATCTAATTCTAAGTTCCTTTTCCCCACAATTTATTAGAAAAAACTTGTAATAGCATCATGTTTGGGATTTCTCTTTTTCCCTTCCCAGGAATCTAAAAAGTAAGCCACCCTTCTATAGAAATGTAAAGTGCCTATGATCATTGATTCATTCCCTTTTAAACTAAATACTAATATATATATTTTATCTTCATAACTTTGAAATGATGATGGATTAAGACTTTATGTTGTATTTTTGCGTTGAATGCCATATTAGTATTGAGGCCTATACTTAAAAGATGATTGATGAATACATAAAACATTGCCTTCTCATGAATGATAGTAAACCTGGATATTTAGGCCGTTATGTAAGGCCAGCTCCAATGGATAGGAATAACATTGGATTGTGTACTTAGAGAAAGTTTTGCAGACATATACTACAGAGCTGTGCATTCACTTTTGGCAAGTTAGTGTTTGTGAGTACTGCTATGAGTTTTTTCATGGCACATGAAATACATTTTACCTTCACAGTCTTGCCAAGTGAAAAATCTCATGACTCACAGCAATCAGAGATTTTAGGTTGCAAACTTGAGAAGTATACTGTACTTACTGACAATTTCCCTTTTGTGCTTTTATGAGCAAAGGCCAGGAACTAGTTCCACCATCGTCTTCATGAATAGATAGAACATTAGTCGGCATACTCACTAGTCAACAAAGCCAAATATCAACAGTACAATGATTGAAATTTCTTTTGAGAGCCAAATTTTTTAAACTTAAATTATATAGGTAGGAATATTGTTATTAATTTAAGTAGGGTACTCCTAAATTGGCCTTTGCTAAAAACTCAAGGAGCCAAACAGCTGTATGTGGATTGTGAGCCACAGTTTGCCAACCAGGGAGCTAGACAAAAAAGAGGGAGTAGGGGAGCCTTTTTATGGAGTTTAGTTAATCTGAACCCTCTTTGATATTACTAATACTTTTGAACAAAATGAGCTAATAGATTTAAATAATAACATAAATGATACATCAGGTATTTCTTATCTATATAAATAATAGCCTAAGCGACCATTATAGTGGAACAACCAGAATGACCAGTTGCTATGATGTGCACTGACCACGAGGGGGCAGACACTCAATGCAGGAGCTGTCCCCTGGTGGTCACTGCACTAAGGAGAAGCTAGCAGGCAGGCAGTAAGGAGTGAGGGGTCCTGGACATCCCCCAAGGGGTCCCAGACATCCCCCAAGGGGTCCCAGACTGCAAAAGGGCTCAGGCCAGGCTAAGGGACCCCTTCCAAACCAGTGCATGAATTTTGTGCACCAGGCCTTTAGTCTTTTATAATTATAGATTTTTTCCACATTGTATTCTGGACTTTATTTTATCCCAACTTATTCCATATCCATTACAACTGTCCAATTCCTTTTGTTGTTTTTTATTTTTGAAAATTAAAGTTACATTCAATATTATTTTGTATTAGTTTCAGGATTACAACACAGTAATTATAGAAGTTATATAATTTTTTTAACAATTAAAAATTAGCAAATGACAAAAATATAATCCTGCATGTTACATTATTTTATATATGTGTGTATGTGTATACCATAGAACATAGAATGCAATCTTTGTCTGGTACCATTTAAAGGGAATATTACTTTTATTCTGAAATTGATTGATTTTAACATTATTCACAACTTCTTTATAATTTTGGTGCACTAATGAAGGAAAATAAAGAGATATCTCTTTCCTTTACCATTATCATTTTTTATAGGAGAGATTATTTTTATTTAAAGTGTATTATAAAGTATATTGCCAAAATGCCAAAATTTAATTTTCTGGAAAACATATCTTTGCAGAAAACTTTATTAAAATTCAGGGTGTAATTTGTTCTCTACATGCATATATTTGTTAGTTATATTCAGTGTTGTTTACTCAAAAGTTTTCTTATATAAAAAATAAATATATAACCATAAACACACTGGTCTGTGATGTGGGTATTAGGTACATGAGATTTTGAATCAAGATGGTATGAGTTAGAATTCTGGGCATCTCATTTATAGCTTTGGGTTTAGGAAAGTTATTTAGTCTCACTAATCTTTCTTTTCTTTAGTGATAAAATGGGATTAAAAACATGATCGATCTTTGAAGATTCTTAGGAAGATTAAGCAAGAGTTCATGTGTAAATGTCTAGCATTAATCAGCTATCCATACATGTTTGCAGTTATTCATAATTATTATCTCCCCTCTCAAACACACAAAGCAATAATGTTCAGAATGTTTTTCTCTAATTTGTAAAAACAGAAAGTTGGAGGAAATAAAAACTTCCTGAATTTTAAAATGAAAAACTGCCCCCGAGAACTTGGTACAGAAATGCCTCTCAAAGTTTTTACTACAACAAAGTATAAGGGATGAGAGTTTAGTATAAGAAATAGTCTGGAAACACCCCATATTTTGTTTTTATTAGTTGATATTAAGTTTTTACAATCGCTGTATTCTACAAATATTGCTATCGTATTTTGTAAGTGTTTTATTGTTTAACTGATTAATTAGATGATGGTAAAAGTGTCTAGTGGAGGAAGTCTGCCTACCTCCCAAAATAAATAAAGGAAAGCGTATTTCAGTAGTTCCTTAAGTCTTTATTTTGCACATATGCAGTTGGGCTTTAGGCCAGCAATAAAATGCCTGAGTGATAAAGGGATCCCCTATTTCCATTCTCACTTAGGACTTGTGTATTTGGTATGGGTGAGCAAAAGAAAATATAACAAAGGAGTTGAATTTTCAAAATGCTGATAATGGAAAATAGAAAACTAACTCTGATAAATGTCACTGATTATACTGGCTAATAATTTTTAAAGTTGGTATAACATATGTGGTCTCTGGTAGAGAAATAAGTTCTCTATGTCACATTATACAAAGGACTTTTGATAGGCACATTAATGTCTAAAATAACATAGCTTATGGATTGAATAATTTGTTATTCAAGCACTTATTGAGCATCTATCCTGTATTAGGCATTTTATTAGCACCAGGATTCAGTGTTGAACAAAACAGATGCCTTTTCTATCTGAATATTTATAGTCTATTAGCAGATATCAACATAAAATGGAAAAATCATACAAATAATTGGTAATTGTAGACAGAATTGGATGAAAACATAGACTAGCCACGGATTTTCCCAGGACAGAGTTTAATTATAATGCAGACATAGAAAGTTGTATTTGACAACAGTATTTTCACAGAGGGGGTTATATATGGTTGGGGGAAATGTTTTTACTTTGATGCTTGGAAGGTGTGGTTAGGGTTTGGGGATGTGGGGTAAAACTTCCACATGGATATGTTTGACTAACAACAAAAGGATATGAATTGAGAACAGAACTTCAGCCCAGCTAAGTATTTAAAGAATATTGATCTAAAGAATGGCAAGTTTGGTGAAACTGGTTTGGCTCAGTGGATAGAGTGTTGGCCTGCAGACTGAAGGGTCCCAGGTTTGATTCCGGTCAAGAGCATGTACCTTGATTGTGGGCACATCTCCGGTAGGGGTTGTGCAGGAGGCAGCTGGTAGATGTCTCTCTCTCATTAATGTTTCTAGCTCTCTATCTCTCTGTAAAAAATCAATAATATATATTTAAAAAAAAAGAATGGCAAGTTGGGCTTTAAATGTAATAATTGGTAAGAAGAAAAACAGCATGATATTTTGGAAGATACAGTCAACAAGCAAAATTTAGACTAGAGTTGTAAGAAGGAAGATATCATAGAACGTCTACCAAGAAAGACTTTTTTTTTTTTTTTTTTTTTTTTTTTTTTTTTTTGCTTGATACCAAAAGGATGTAATAGTAGCCCCTCAGAGCTCAGAGTGATAGTGCTGAGAAGTGGAATGCTCTCCATGTGGAAGGAACAACCAGTAGACTGGTCTGGCCCAACTTTTGTTACTAGGTAACCTGAGACATGTTATTTATAAACAAGACCCTGAGGGGTTATTATTTTTACCTTATGAAGGAATCTCAGTCCAGCCCGGGGATGTATTTGTAGTTTTCACAGAATTTCATTACTTTTTACAGATTTAC